TAGGAATAGAAGAAAACTCCACATGATAAAGGACATTTATGCCTCAGAAACCCAAGGAGGGGTCACTATGAGTCGGGTCTGACTCACCGGCACATAACAACAACAAACAACATGAGAAACCCACAGCTGACATCATACTCAAGATTTAAAGCTTTGCCTCTAAGAACAGGAAGAAGACAAAGATGCCCACTTTCACCAATGCTATTAACATTGTACTGGAAGTTCTAGGAATTTGTCTATTTTACCTGGGAGCTCTGGTGGCGTAGTGCAGACAACCTAATTGTTGGATCACAATTATTCATAGTATTCCTTTACAATCCTTTTAAATTTCTAGGGTGAGTAGTAATGTCCCCTTTCATTTCTATTTATAATTATTTGCATCTTCTCTCTGTTTGTCCTCATCAGTCTAGCTAAATGTCAGTTTTATTGGTCTTTTCAACCTTTGGTTACACTGATTATTACTTTTTCTCTAATTTGTCTCTGCTCTAGTCTTAATTATTGCCTTCCATAATTTACTCTTTTTCTAATTCCTCAAGTGTAAAGTTAGGGTATTGATTTAAGATCTTTCTTCTTTTTAATGTAGGTATTTACTGCTATAAATTTGCTCTGAGCACTGCCTTTGCTGCATCCCATAAACTTTGGTATGTTGTTCTTTCATTTTCATTCCTCTCTTAAGTATTTTCCATTTCCCTTGTAATTTCTTCTTTGACTTATTGGTTGTTTAATAGTATAATATTTAATTTCCATATATGTGTGAATTTTCCATTTTTTCCTTCTGTTAACTGATGTCTAGTTTCATTCCATTGTAGTCAAAGAAGATATGATTTCAAAGATTTCTTTGTAGTCTAAAAAGATACGATTTCAATCTTTTTTAATTTATTGAGACTTATTTTATTATCTAGCATATGGTCTGTCCTTAAGAATAATACATGTGTACTGGAGAAGAATGTTATTTTTCTGTTGTTAGGTGAGTGTTATAGTGGTTCTGTATATGTCTGTTTGGTCTAGTTGGTTTATACTGTTCAAAACTTCTGTTTCCTTATTGATCCTCTAAGTGTTTTACCCATTATTGAAAATGATGTATTGGAGTCCCCAGCTATTATTGTTAAGCTATCTAGTTCTCCTTTCAGTTATGTTAACATTTGATTCATATATTTTGGGTCTCTGGCGTTAGGTGCCTATATAATTGTTATATTTTCTTGATGAATTGAATTATCATTATGTAAAGACCTTCTCTGTTTTTTGTAATAGATATTTTGTCTTATATTAACATAGCCATCCCAGCTCTCTTCTGGTCACACTATTTATTATATACAATATTTTCTTTAATCTTTTCAATTTTAAACTCTATGTTCATGCATCTAAAGTGAGTCTTTTGTAGA